CCTGAAACCACGCGGCGCCCTTCTTGGGAGTGAGTAAGGTAGTAAGCCGGAAGAGCCCAACATGCCCGAGCCGCCGTAGTCCCCCGTGCCCCCCCTACCAACGGCTTCTTTGTCCTCCGGTGCGCCGGCGCCCTTTAAGCCCAAGGGAAAAAAAAAACAACTCTGCGCCCGCCTATCAGAATGAGAAAAAGGGGAATTTCTGGTGGTGTGCAGAAATGGCCCGCCCCGAGCCTCTTGTGTGAGACAAGAAGAGGAAGAAAAAAGGTGAGGCGGCCTAAAACCTAGTTCATCCTCCCCCGAACGTTAGTCCGGTGAGTTTAGGCTCTTAGAGATGGGGCGACACAGAAACGAAGAAGACGTCTCTCACTCTGTGTTCCATCGTTGGGGTTGTAAGGGTCTCGGAGCTACGAGCCAGCCTATTCAACAAACGCCACCGCCGATAGAGTGAGAGAGAGAGAGAGACAGAAAAGAAATAGGGCGCCACCTTGGTCTAGATTGATAGACCACAACCGGGAAACTCATTGCTGCCACGAGGCTGCTTGGCAAGTACTGTGTAGAAGAGCAAAAAGCGACCCGAGCAGAACACGCCTTCTCCCGGGAGTCTCTCCCCGCGAATCCGCTCCTCGCCGCCGTTCCGGTGCTCAGACGGACTAGAGTAGCCCAACCCAAGGTGTGCCAGGCTGGATCTGGACGGGCATCGACACACCACCATCCAGGACGCATCGTCGGCCAGTCACTTGACAAGCGCCGCCTCTCCGGGGAAACGCACTCACGTATCCCCCTCGTCGACGCGGAACCGCGGAGCAAAGCGGCCTACGATATCCCACATCCTCTAGATCTGACCGGACTCATCCTCATCCTCTTTCGCCAGCACAATACTGCCGCCGGCAGCAATATAGCGTAGGTTGTCAGCATCAGGGCCCGAGCCACGAAGCTAACAAAATCCGACGGACGAAAAAACGTCAAGAATCTAATCCTCTTAGGCTGGCGAACAGACACAGTGGCAGCTCTCTCTTTCTCTCTCTCTCTCTCTCTCTCTCTCTCTCTCTCGATCCGCCTGTCTTCCCCCTCCATCCCTCCCTCCCTTCCCCCTCGAGGATCCCCTGGCTTGTCAGTGTCGTCCCAAGAGCTTTCGGCATGTGACACGGACGCTTCATCGAGTCAAGCAGCGGCAGCCGCAGCGTCGCTGGCGTGGACCGCGCGGATCCCCCAGCGCTCCGCCTGCCAGAATTTGCCTGCCGCCTTTCGGCTCCCGGTAGATAGAGAGAGAGAGAAGGTCAAAGCATCTGCGAGACATTTCTTAGCGAGAAAAGCAACGACGATTGATAACAAAAAGACTAAAAAAATCTCTTACACGTAGGTACGGAGGATAGGCCGTACAACTTCCTACCGCTCGCCTGGAAGCGACAGAGGGCAAACCGGCCGGAATGTGCGGGGTTCCGTCAACTCAGCGGGCGGGGGGGACGCAGGAACAGCAGTCGGCCGTTCTCTGTGACCTTTTGGCGGCAGAGGGCCCGACAGAAGAAATGCTTGCTGCATTTTGCTGCACCTAGGCCAGTGCCGACAGCAATAGTGGGATGCTGATGGCCTAGTTCTCAACTTCTCATGCTACTACGTAACCATAGTGCTTGCTTCCCAAGCGTTCAATGTGACTCTCGCACGTCTTGCTGTGATCTACGTCTCATCCAAGCCCACTACCGCTACATCGAAAGACATACGTTTCTGCGTCGTCGGTAGAAGGGAAGACGTTCCCCAGGCACATAAGGTGAGGATCGACGGAATTACTCGGCAGACGTGACGGCTCCCGAATTTCGATATTCAGCGGTGAGCACCGGTTCGAGCATAGGGTCGTCACTGATGATGTTCTCATCTCTCTTTCCTTTCCTCTATCCTACGAGCCCGGGGGGGGGGCTTCCTGACAGTGTTGCAACGCAAGGTCCTCTTCCGCATGAAGATGGCGGCCCCCACTCGAAAGTTGACAAGAGCCCCATTCGGATCTTCAACTAAAGACTGAAGATCGCAATTTGGACCCAGGAAGATGCCATCACAGGCAAAGCCGCTAGCAGCCCAATTACCCTGATCTTTAAGTCGGGCACACAAAAAAGCCATCAACGTGGTCAGGTTCAGGGTCCATTGGAGGTCCAGAGGACGGACGTCTCTCAAGATAGAATCTCGGGGAATAAGTCATGAAGTTTAGGGTGAGTGTGCTTCCATCATCGCCGGGTCTCGAGCGCAGACTGGTGGATGCGATTTTCACGCAGCCGCGAGCCCCCAAGGGATTAGTGTAGACCCAGTGGTGGAGGATTCTAGTGTCGCACAAGTCTCGATACCTTTGTCGAGAGTACCTGGCCCTGCTTCGCGACATCATCCCTCCCAGGGCCCTGATCATCATGAACTTGTGGCGACGACACGCATCGTGTGGAGAGAGAGAAAGAGAGAGTGTGTGTCAAGGGTTGGGTTGCGTCGATATCGCTCTTCACGCGATGTCTCATTGACCAGTTGTGGCCAACAACTGAGCACTTTGAAGTGGTAAAATCGGGACAAGAAATTGAATGTGGCCTCGTGCGCCATGTGCCTGAGCGAGCCCTTTGCCTGCATCAAGCTACAAATACAACCCACCACTCGGCCCAAGCCCGCTCTAATCCCCGGGACAGAAGACACCGGTGTACCCGGAGGCCCGGAGAGACAGCCGGTTTGCTGGAAAGCAATGAGTTTCTTGGAGGCAGACGGTGCCCACCCACCCCTCCATCACGTCCCTGCTTCAGGAACACGCCGTTCGTTTTCTCAGGTGCAAAAGCTGCAGCATAACGTAGGTTGAGATAGAGGGTTGCCACATGCATGCCCGCCTTAGTGTGCACTCGCTCCCAAATGGGTATTCAAACACCTGCATTCGCGACCATGCGGACGCCTTTTTTCACGCAAAAAGTCTGTCTGCTCACCACATATCGATGCAATGCAGGTTTGAGAACGGTTGTGACCAACGCACTCCTTCGCCGTTCATCACTCGGCATGATGCAGACGAAGGTTCCCACCAAGTTTGCCTCTTCCCGAAGCTACCATCTAGACAGCGTGTTTCAGGGCTGCCAAAAGAACTCGAAAGTTGGGCGCTGCATACTCGCAAGAGTACCGACAAGTTTCCGAGTCCGAGGTAAACGGGATGGATGCCAAAATTCTCGTGTCTGTTGCCTCTAGTCGTCCTGGTGGTGGGGTTGTAGCTTGTGTTTTGTGCTCCGTAAGCTGCCATAACTTGCCTACTGGGTAGGTTCTATCGTATCCGATGTGCCATAGTCTGGCAAAAACCCTCAGTACCAACATTGTTCGCGCATGATCTGTCGGAAACGGCAGTTTGCACCCGATCACCCACCGGACAAACATTGATATATTGGACGCGTCTCGGCACCTTACTGGCTACCAACATTGAAGAGTTCCAAGTTCCTGGTGCAACAAATTACACTGACCGCTCACCTGAGGCTGCAAACTGCAGCTGCTCTCGCCACGTGAAAGTTGTTGCATTGCGAGCTGGCTCCCGTGTACTTTGATGAAGTTACCACCCGCATGTCGCTCTCTTATTCAGGTGGATGCATCATTCAATACATATTGCCTGTCGTCTCTTTACGCCCATTTACCGACTCGTGTCACGGTGCTGCTTATCCTGGCGGTACGAGGTTGTCGGTCTGTTGACCGTGGAGCTGTCACTAGTTTAGTTAGGTATCCCGAAATGCTAGCCGTTGGCCGAGGCTACTTTTGTCTTCTCGTTGTCTTGATAGATGCATCGGCTTCCTGTCCGTTTCTAGTTTTTAGATGGCTGTGCAGTGTGCGGTACTTCGTACGGATACTGAGAGACCGCATCGATGACAAAAGCTGAGGTTGGAATCCGGGACGCTCAATCTCCCATTCCCCACGCTAATCACTTCTAGAAGGTTGAGGAACATCGGTAGTTAGAGGCAAGGAAATGAGTTTATCTCCCGTTCGTGGACCCCACGGAAGGTGGACGCCTTTCTGGCGCAGATATTGGAGCCTATCGCGCTTGGCTGTGAACCACTGACGAACCATCGGCGGGACGAGCGGGAGGCCTGTTAAGACCCTGGCCTGGTCTTCTTCCACGTTGCTATCTTGGAAATCGTGAATGGGTCGTGCCGATGGCGAGCTCCAGGCTTGTTAGATTCGTGGGCACCCAAAGATTCATTCGAGCAACGTGACACCGGGGACTCCACCGTACCGAGCTGCGATGTGTTAATAATGTATTATTCAACCGGGCAAAGGCGGATGGCTTCTTGAAAGATCTCTGCCGAGGTTGAAATGCTGTTTTGAATACGGTTCGATCGACACAGTTATGAATGGGGGAGGGCCGATTAATGACGGACGTCTCTGTGTAGAGAGATGCCTCGTGGATTACGTTAACTGATGTTCGAAATGACTCTCACGTTCCAACGACTGGCGTTTAGTGACCGCGGCCAGACTGCCTTGTTCTGTCGATAACCAATATAGATCGACCGGATGATATGACCAGTGTCATCGCCTCGGGCAGTCTGATACGTGGTGACGAAGCTATGCCTTCTAGAACAATGGAAGGATGGAACATGAGAAACGGCTCCATCGTGACCTGGGGCCTCTGCTTCATGCTGACACCCCTTCCATCTGCCTTCCGTTTCCCATTGTTTCCAATGGCACAAGGCGATGCGTCATGATAACCATGGTGCCCTAAACAGGCAAGTCCCTAATACCCAAGGCTATGCGGGATGCTTCGTGATGGGGACTCAGGCGTCGGAGTGTGTGGGCCCTGAAACCTTCTCGAAGGTCTTGGAGCCTGGAGGCCTATGGGCTAACGACCGCGGGAATGCCCATTGGTCACTGCGGAGGAACCCCTTGTATTGACCGGTGTGACGGGGTACCCCTGACGAGACGAGTTGGAGCCTCAGGATGACAGCTCCCATTATTAACCGAATTCTCAGAACTATGTGGGTTTCGTTCATCCGGGAGAGGACATCGAGTCCGGTCTGTAACGCCATGTATCCACGTGTGCCATGGCAGAAGAGAAGAGTGTGTCCATAGTAAGGGAAAACTTGTCGGCTACCCAGCGCTCCGGCTGCTCTGGCCAAGTCAGTTTGTTTTTGATTCAGCTCAATGAATAATTCGACGACTCAACCTTCCCTGTCGAAAACAAATATTGAGTAAGTTCATAATAATTGTAAGACCATACGAACGATAGTGAGGCACCCCACGGACTTTACTTGGCCGAGAGCGTTACCGATTGTCAGTGGTTGCTTATTGCCGTTAGCTGGCAGACTGATAAGTAAGTGCCTTGCCTGACAGTGACACTAGGGATTCACTCGATCCCGGAGGATCTTCCACGCCAAGTTATGCCCCTGCCCCGTCCGTGACCGGACCGCTAGCCTCAGCAGTTATCTCTGGGCAGTTCGGATGCTGGTTGGCGATAGCGATAGCGGTGAATATGCTCATCGACTTCTTGGGGTGGTCGGTTCAGGACCGTCAAGCTAAACGGCGGCCCCAGGCTCCAAAGCACCTCAGGCCCGTTGGAGGTCCCTTTGGCGATCTTCCAGACTCATGCCCGGTTGCGGCGAGGACCCTTGTGGCCGAGCAAGAGACAGATGGACATATGGTGTGGCCCGCCGCTTGGCTTAATTTGAAGCAGGCCTTTGCTAGATTTGCCAGAAATCCGGGGCAACTAGACCGGAACAAGGTCCGTATTTGGGCCTGGTCGCCGTTGGGGGTCTCGGTGCCACTGGCTGGGCCGGGACCCCACGGCTTCCTACCCGAGCCGCCCAAAGTACCATGTCCACCAGCCAGGCTCCCAAGTCGTCGGAGGTGAATTGGAGTGTTGGAGAAGGGAACTTCCCAGAGGGACCAGAGGGGAAAGAAGGGCCCGCGGGTACAATTGGGAACTTCATGAGCATCAAACGACAGATCGCCGGGGTCTCCTCGATCAACCAGCGAATAGATCTGCTCAACTTCCGTCCTTGGACGTCGATATTGCGCCATCCGTGGCTTTTAATGGCTCTTGGTGGAGAGCTTTAACGAAGCGGCGGTCGGAGGTTTCCAGCGGATGACAATGGTCGGCTGCTGATCTACCATGGACCGTTAGCTGATATTCTAGTGTGGGTTGTTATTCCGTACGGTTAGATATTTGAAGTACGAACATGCCCGGCTCACACCACACAACGTAAGAGAGTAGGTGTTGACCAACACGTCCACCGTGTTGGGGCATCTTCGTAAAACGGGGTCGACAGAGGAAAATTTTGCAGTCGGAAGTATATTCCTACATGGTGAACCCACACATTAGGTCGGGGTCGTTGGAAGACCCGGGCTGTTTTGGGCTTAAGGTGTTCCGGTGTATTGGATCGTGTCAAGTGTTTGCTCATGTCTGATCCAGTAGCCAGGAACGGCCCAACCACCCCGACGGTGGCGAAAGGATTCTGAGCCAGGCACTTGGCTCCTCCCCGTGGCCTCCGCTAAGATAGCACCTGGTCGGCCATCCTGGAGCCCCGGCCACTTGACAAGCCCCGGCTGCTTTGCTGGCCTGATCCAGAAAAGGTCGGCAAGCATGCGGTTGAGCCCTGGTCCCATCAACTTCAGTAGAAGCCGAGTCCAGAAAGGTTGTTAGCGGGCAATCGTTCTCCATGCCATCCCATGTCGGTTGCAGAGGCCGGGCTCCTATTCGACTAATAAATCCATAATTCGAATGCCACTTTTCTTCGTAGGGCTTTAGAACGGTCCCAAGCGTTATGCTGCCGGTTCCGCGTAGTCTAGGATGCTGCAGCCAGACCCCACTGCCACCCATGGTTCGACCGAGAATACCTTGTTCTCGAAGTTATTACGAGGGATTTCGGGCCTTCGATGCTGGTCTTCGAGACCTTCCTTTCAAGCCGGCTAGCTCTGAGGGATCTCGTAGTGTGTGTGTGATAACCGTCGGAGAATGCTCGTAAGCATCTTAATGATATGCTGGTGTTCTCGAACCGTTCGAACCCTTCTACCGTTGCCATTATCCATTTCGGATTCCGGAACCACGGTCCAAGAATTTGAAAAGATCTAACCTGGTGTGCCTGCAGCCCGAGTACGGATACTGGGATAAGCTGCTTTGATGAGGGGAAGCTTGAAAAGTTGTGGGATGCCGCGATGCCCAGCCACAGCGTACCTGCATGCGATGGTGCAACGGTTCGTCTGTTCCTGCATATGTATAGAAAGAAAACAGTACCTTGGCACCTTGGGGACACTGCCTGCAGCATCTCGAAGCTTGCGATACACATGCAAGGTACGGATACGCTGAGCTGTGAGGACTGAGTACTTGGTACCGTTTCTTCCGAAGTACTCCGTGCCGTTCGGCGAATCATGGGTGCGAGCAGTGAGGCCGGGGCCGATAGACACCATGGATGGAAGCCCTGACGTGGTTGCGTGGTCGCATGAACGGAGGCAAATTGGTGATTGGACAATCGCCAGGGTTTCGACCGAGCATGGAACCCTGGCACAAATTCACCGGAACTTTCCCAGCTGTGAGAACCACGCGTGCGACGGTCAAATACCTATTGCAGATGATCTGCGTGTGCGAGACCGATCATGATAAGATGCCCAAATAGGGACACAGCGCCGGTGGTGCACGCAAGTTATGCAACATAATGCCTAGCATAGCCCGCTTCGACACCGACGTGCACCGGAAGATGTGCTGATAATGTATGGAGTCTCCGCCGCGAGAGAGACCTGGGCCCTATGCATGGCTGCATGGGCAAAGACCCAGACCACACAGAGCGATAATGAGAAGATGATAAGGCCAGAATCAAGTCGAGTCGGACATCAATGGTGCAAGCCGCGGGATCGAGCCGGTTTGTGCCCGCTTTGTGCTGCGGCGGCGCAGCTGTTTGACCCATTGTGCGTGCATCATCCACCCAGCGGCCAGTGGCAGCAGGATGGATCATGGAGCAAACACCAGAACCACAGAACTAATGCACCATTGGTGCCGGAGGTCCTCTGGTGCAATTTTATGCAGAGAGCTAACGTCTCAGCTAGAAGACTAGTGGAAAGAAGGCCGTTCAGTAGGAGTTGCTGGAAGCTGAAAAGGCAATGGCGATGACGATGAATAGATATTCCTGAAGAGTCTTCGGTTATCAAGGCTGAATCGTCTGTAGTTGGAACCTGACTCTGCGGGTCTAGCCGACAGCAGTATGGAAGCCGGACTCTCGTTACGCGACTTTTGAGGTGCCGGCTGAAGTCATCAACGTAGCTCAGTCTCCAACCAATGGGATATTGTCCATGTCCGACATGGCTAGCGGAGGAGTCGATACAACTACCACACTTCGTCTTGGACAACTTTGGCGTCAGCCAACTCAACTTGCTTCCAACCTGGTCGCTCGATTCGGAAAGGTAAAAAGCGACGGAGAGAACAGTCCAAGCCGTTAGAACGTGCGGGATTGGCGGACGAACAAAGAGAAGCAGATACCTTTGAGACAGACGGTTGGATGGTGCATGGAGACATGTGAAAGAAAACAGTCGGCTTGGCTGAGTTGGTTGGGCCGTTGCAAACAACGCTCTATTCCACATTGTAGCCATGACTTGGAGCGGCGCAGCGCCCCGAGTGACCGGTCACTTCTCAAGGAGCCAGAAGGCTGGATGGAAGAGGCAGGTGTTGGGGAGCAACACAGTAGACGAAGCAAAATCTGTTTGCTCGCTGTTGGAGGCTATATCCGTAAGCCAATGGCTATTGGCCGAATAGACCTTTGATATGCTTTGGTCCGGTTGGTGCTAGTTGTTGTTGGTCCGCAAAGTCGAAAACTACCCAGCATGCCGTCACTGCAAAACCCAGCTTTCGCGTAGGCTGAAGTGTACCGATGCAGACTGCTTTCCCGTCGGTTGCCTCTGACATCCCAGATTGTGAGGTCCGGGCGGATGGATCTGTGATTTGGACGAGACGAGAGGGCCGTGGAGTTGACGTATGCACCCTGTCCCCCAGAAGTGTAGGATAGAGTGTGGCATATCCGCCGTATCGCAGCGTTCAGGGATCGGGTCCTGACTGGAATGCCTGGAGCTGCCAAGCTGGTGCGCCGCAGACTTCCACGAGCCTGGCTGAGCCAAAGTCTCTCGGAACGCTGTCCATGCGAGCATCAAGTTCGACAGGCTGAACCTGGTGTCCCGGCATAAAGGCAACGTTCGTACGAAGCATCGTGGCGTCGTCTTTTCCAGGCTCGCAAGTGAGATGGACGTCAAGGATAGTATCTATCGATAAGGCAAGAATTGGTGCGACATGGATCCGAACAGTGACGGGTTGCGGGGGATTTCTTGGTCAGTGGCTTAGGGTGTCACGGTGTGTACTGTCCGACCATCTACCCGTACCCGAATATCGCGAGGGTGTGGTGAGGATGAAGCGGGGTGGTGCAAGGGAGGACGAGGACGAATGAGGGGTAAAAGTGCTGGTCGTGCCTCGCGTACGCAGACAGGCTGCATCTCGCGGTGTTCCTTGCATCTACGTTTCCTGTAAGGTACAGCAATCATTTTTCTTCTCTGTGTGAAAACTTTTTCCATATCAAGATTCTGGTGGTGGAGGTGGTCAGAGTTGGGGCACGGCGCATGCGTACCAAGGAACAGTATAGAGGTTCAAGCAGGCAAGGTATACACCAAAGAAACATAGTAGAATGCCTTATTCAGAAACGAGTGCGTACGTAAGGCGGGCTCCATGCGTCTAATGCCAGACGAGTTCGTTCGATGTCATGGTGGACGGTGGACGGTGGACGGTGAACGATGGGCGGCGGAGAGTGGACCTGGGTAAAGTAAGTTGTAGGTAAGGTGGCCATTTGAATCTAGACGTTGCTACGTTTCTTGTCGAGGGCCTATCGCATGCATCAAGCTGCAAGATGACCGCTGAGGTAAGGTCTTGCCTGGCTGATGGTATCATCACCCACATCGACTGCGGATACGGGAGTCTCGACCCATGGAAATGAAGGGAAAGTCCTTGCGTAGAGTTCGACGCAGCTCTGAGAAGAGGAATCGAGACTGTATTAGTCATAACACAGTTGACACCTGTGCACAACCACAGGTCTGTAGGTAGGATCAGACGGGAAAAGGATGAGAGCCATTTCCAAGGTACTTTACGAAGTACCTACCAGCTTGCTGCATGAGGTAGGTAGGTGGGAGAACGGGGATTCGGGAGCGCCTTCTCACAGCCGAATGTTTGCTTTTTCCCGCATCATGGATCCAATGGAGACGGGACTGACCAACGGGGCTCCCGTTCCCCAAATCCCAACGGCAGCAGCTTTCCATGGTCCCCCTGCTGCCTTACCTAAGAACACTCGATGGGAACTTGGGAAAAGAAGGCAAGTGGGCAGGAAGGAACTTCGTACCTGGGGTTTGAGAATCTTCGGGTTGGCAATGGAAGAAGTTGGATCCATCTCAACTGTGCCTTCTCCAGGTTGGCCGCAGTTACCAAACTGCATCTGCATCTGCATCTGCACCTGCTCCTTCCTGCTGCTGCTGCACCTAGAGGCACATCCTTGGCCAGGTGCCTTCCTTTTTCAACCATGCGGCGTGCGAGGCCTTCCAGGTTGCCTGTGACCTGTGACATTCAGGTTGGTGTTTGAGGCTTAAGCGGTCGGTGACATCGAGTCCTCCTTCCCGTCCCAGACTCCCCACCCCATCAGATCAAGTCGTCACGTGGCGTGTTGCTTGAGTCTGAGCATCCGTACCTGCCTCGAGTTGACAGAAAGAGAAAGCAACACCGTTCTTTCCACTTCATCCGAACAGGCCATCCCGTCCGCCCTGTGCCTTAGCCCGCAGTCGTTACTCTCATGGATTTAAACATTGCCCTGCCGAACCCCATCTCAGCTCCGGATGCTGCGTACGCAGTACATACGTGCCTGTGGTTCCGTGGTGCCTCAATAGTCCATACCTTACACACCTTACTTGACGACATGCACGCCGAGCACTGCCTCAACTAGACTGCTTGCTGCATGGACCTCCTCGCCGCGACGTGGTGGCGACAATCTTTTCGCTCTTTTCAATCTAACTTTCCATTCTCCCAGGGTCCGATTGCCAACTCGGACCTGAAAAGATCGGATGTCACTTTGTCGCCCACCGTCCGTGCCAAAGTCTACAGCATCATGAATCCACTGGCTTCGTTGGTTTGCTTCACCATCAATATCGGGCTCCCTGCCCTGTCCCGTCATGATCATCAGCCGCGGGCCGCGGGCCACTCATGAGGCTTGCTTAGTCCCAGCCATCGCAACCTTGGATGGCCTGTCTTTACTGTCCACTCTTCACGATTCGAGCATGTCGAGGCACCCGAGACTCCCAAGACTCAAGAGGCTCCCGCCAATCCGCCGACAATGCCAGGGGTGTCAGGGTTGATGCTTGGCCGTCACCAAGCTGCTGGACCAACCGGGACGGCCAGTCCAGAAATGGCATGCTAGATCTGTCGAGACGACTCAACTCGGCTTTGGCGGGGTCATGGTCAAGTGACGCAGTCAGCAATCCAACGCCCCCCGCGCCGGCTCGACTCAGCAGACAGACGCGTGAAAGAATGGAGAACAAGTCGAAACCAGAAACAACGCCCGTCAACATATCCGCCAAACCAAGACTCACGAGGTGATATGGATACATGAGAGTCCAGGCGCGCGAGAAACTCTTGCTAGTGGCGGCTGCGTCATCGCTAGCCAACGCGATGCCGTAAAGCCACAACCAAAAACTTCAAAGCGCGACGCGGGGTTGTTGACTGGCGATAGCAAACGTGTGACGGACGCCCAAGTCGACCACTGATATGCCAAGCGGCACTCAACGGACGCCTAGTGGTGGATGGCACCTCACGGCAGAGGTTATCGTTAGACTTGTTACCCTAGAGTTCTGGCAGGGGGTCGCCAAAGGTGCGCCTGTTCAGCGTTCTGAATGGCCCGGCCTCGTCTCCATCACACATCCTTTGTGCGTTTCGTGTTCCTGCACAACTACGGTACCCACCAGATGAGAGGCTTGCATAGCTGGCTCGAGAGGGCTTACTGGCGCGTTGGCGAGCTGAATACGACGCCCGTATGCATCGACATTATTCAAGCACACTCACATGTTCGCCGCTTCCAAGAAATCAAGTTGTGCTACGAACGGGGGGCCACCAACCAGTGGCCCCCTCGCATGCCGTTGGCTTTGGTTCCCACTTGAGGAATCCAAGGGCTTATCCGTACAGAACTTCAGAAGAAGACGGTGTCCTCCGAAAGAGGAGACGCAGCGCACAACGAGGATAAGTGGGTGTGCGGCCTCCGCCAGGGCCATTTTCACAATCAACCCAACACTCGGACGAATTAACATTTTGATAGCTGTGGACTTTTATTCTTAGAAAGCCGGGACCTCGAATATACTCCAATAACGCAGCAATTATGTGCCTGACGACATCGGATGGACGAGCCACACACGGCTTTCCCAGAGCTGCGGTTGCAATACTACCTACCGCTCAAGCCGACTGTCTTCCCAGCTCAATAACAGTTGACAGGCTCCGTCCATCTCTACGGCTCTGGCATGAATGATGAACGGTGACCCGCTGGCTACCCTAGCTGTCAAAGTCAATGCTGCTTGGGCAGCCCAGTAATTGCCGCGATGCTCCGCGTTTCGAGCACTTCGGAGCAGTCATAGTCGCCTGTCGGGGGAGTTCAGACAAGCACAGCTTTGCTCAGCCGCTCTGAAGCATGAAAATGGATTACGAATGCTCCCACGAATCGCGAAACTTACTGGAGCATCGACAGAGCCACCGTGATCCAGGAGACGAACGGCAGTTGACGTTTGGCTTGCAAAGGAAACAAGCTGACATTTTCCATGGTTGCCGCTCGCGCTGGTTTCTATCACCATCACCATTGCCGCTGTTACCACTGTGGCTACTAGACGCAACTTCTGAAGTGATCAACAGAGGGCGGCGCAACGCCCTCCAGTGTTCGCTGGTCTGGTACCTTGCATGCGCGTTTCGGCCATGGTTTGCTGCGGGTGTGCTAGCACAACGAGCGATACGACTGGCGTGCAGCATGAGTGTGTCTGCATGTGTGACTGTCGACAGAGGGTTCATCCAGCGAATGACGGTGCCTGAGAGTGTGGTCGGACGCGCGCCAGACTGGGCTGAGATGGCGAGTGCCAATCGAGGAAGCCAATTGTGCTAGTTGTGTGGACGGCGATGTGTCTATCGACAGGCGCTATCCACTTGTGCCTCGATTTGCCGTCCTATCAAAGAGTACATGGTCCTCGGGTTTATGCAGCTCTGCTGAGTTACCTCGACGCACTCTTTGCTCACTCATCACTGAAGTATCTCGAACCTGTCTCATCTTGCATACTCTGTTGGTGGAAGCCCGATTAAAATTACCCTCAGCATAATCTTTCCCCGGTTGTATCACTTGGTGCCTGACTACAACGACTGAGAAGCCGCTGTGGCTGGTTGGCTGTGATTCGGCCTGGTCGGTACCACGACCAGGTACCTATCTGCCTTTCCGTATTCAGGGCATAACGGACTATGGGCTAAGCATCTAATCACGAACAAACGGCTGATGGCACTCTCGTGTACGGCGGCATACAATAGTCGTGTATAGTGCTGCTCTGTGCCCAGGTCCAGATGCTCCCGCGACGCCCGTTCATGGCCGCCGTCAACGCCATCTGCCAGCGTTGGCTTGGTTGCTGTAGCTGTCTGAGAGCAACATGACGGCTGGTCAAGGCTCTCTCTGTCTCCATGCGCTTCAAGTGAGGATTGCTTGAGGGAAACGTCAGCTGCAGTTCCGGACAAGAGCCTGAATGAGTTTGGTTTGACATTTCCTGCAGAAAGTATGGTTTATTTCATCTGAAAGGCAGAAAATGCAAAAGCCCTGACGGCATCGAGGCCGGCGTGTTCCTGCAAGATGTCGTATGTGTGCGTCTGTTGGCACCCAGCAAACTAGGTACCTACAGTACGAATACGCAGCCAGTAAGCCAGA